AGTTGGTGGCTTATTCTGGCATCGGGGTAGGTAGTTAATAATTTGTTGGTTTCTTAATGAAACGCGATTGCTTTTTTAAGGGTTGTCGACGACTTGAGTCGATTACTGTTTTTTGCATATGGTAGTGGATCAGCATCTGCAATGTTTTCCGCATCCATCCGCGACCGGAATGACGAACATCTCATTCGTATGCGAGAAGTGTGTCGCACCGCGGTAGGTTAGAATGAGAATCACTCCCTTATAGATGTCAGGGGCTCTCTTATCACTGGTAATGTCTATAATGTGTTTTAGTTTTTTGTTCAGTGGTTTTCAGAATGCTGTTTGGATAACAAGGTCTCTCTAAAGGGGAAACGTAAACTTTACAAGGTCTGAAACCTAATGAAGTGTTGTTACTAATTGTGACTTTTTCCCGCAGTCAATTATCATTATACTGGGTGTTCAGTTATGAACCAGTAGCTGATTAGTGGCTCCCCAAATAATAACAAGCAAAAAGAATCACTAAGAGCGCCATAAAAAATTCGCTTCCTCACAGTCACACAGCCTCATTGTGCTTCTTCAGACTTGCTGGCAACTCGACGCCCTGTGGTCTCCGTGCAACCCTGCTCACAGATCGATTTTTCGCATATTTCAGTACTAAATGCCGTGCAAAGAAATGTAAACGAAATACAAGAAAAACACTGAAGCAAAACTCGTAACAGAAATTAGCTTTCGAAAACTGCGTGCGAAATTAAGATTACGGTAAGGGATGCGCGTTGAGCTTGCACCAATCGCATCACTTGTGATTTGAACACATGTCTTACCTTACAAGATGGATTGCTGTTGACTCTGTGTGCTCCAAATGAAGACAACATAATGGAGAAGGACAGAATTACACATGAGCCCGGTTGGCAAAAATGGACATGCAGTTCGGATTTATGTCCGCCGCTCCTACAACAACAAACGAGCGCCCCCGTGTGTTAGGTGTGAAGCGGTGTGTTAGTTGGGTGGGCGGTCCAACTGAGCGGGTGTTAAAACTAGGGCCTTCGGCGGCTGCAGCACCTTCTCCACTTGCCGCGAAGTCGCGAAAGCGGGGCAGTCTCTGAGTCTGTGGGCTGGACTACTTGCAAAGGAAGGACAACCAACCAACCAACTGCTTGAGCACGGGGTTTGTATTCAAGATACATTTACTATGCTCGCTATTCTCCTTGCAAAAAATGCTTTTTCTTTCTCTACAATCGTCATCTCTTTATGCACTTTGAAACTTGTTCTTTCACTTCAGTCTGCACTCAGAATTGTTCATTCATCAGCTCTTAACACGTTGACGACAACGCGGGTTTTTACTTTTCGGCCACGTGGGACACGCGCGCTTTCTTGAACGCCACAAGCGCGGTACGCATACAATTCAAGCCGTCCCACGAAGCGCTTTTCTGGAGATTGGATCGAAAAACCTGGTTTAGAGAGCGATTGTGAAGTAAGTCAATTATTTACTATGGAAAAATCTGGGCTGGCCAACTCTCTTTGCACCAGGACCAGGAATTTGTCTGTAACCAATTTTTTTCATCGTGCTTTCTATATGATTCAGAATACGTCATCTTATATTTTTCATAATTATCAATGTTGTAATTGTCTATATTTATTGGCAAAGAGTTAAACAGCAAACCATCCAAAGTTGAGGAGCAAACCAATTCAAGCTTTAGTGCTCTTTCCACAGGAAATCTTTGCTAAACTAGTGTGTACTAAATTATTCCATGGACCACGTGTTGTACGAGTATACTAAGGACTGGCCGAATGAATAGGAGAAACTAAACAAAAAAAATCATGCACTAGTGAAAGATATGGATTTGTTGATCGTGATTCGTATACAATTCGCGCGGTCCCACGTGGCCCACAGAGAGGGCGCATTAAATGCGTATCACGCTGTCGTCAATGTGTTAATGGTTGTGTATTTAGATGTGTTATGCCGATGCCACTTGTTTTTCGTTTAGATTCTACGATTAGACGAGAGACATGAGTGCACACCAGAAGTATATTCTGAAACGATGAAAATGCGTGAAGTCTTTCTTGCTTCTGATGGTTTGTTTCAGTTTGGATTTGTCTTTTTCGGAATGAAGATTTCATTGGTCCTTCAACTCCTGAATTTCCACCGTTGTAGGCGCGATAATTAGCGATGTGAGTCGTTGTTGTGTGGGCTCATTGGCAGTGTGGATACAGCTCAAGCATTTCTGACGCCATTGGTTTCATGTTTGCGTTCATACTTTGCGTCAGCGTCTTGAGGGCAGCGTTTCAAGCGTTTAGAGCGTCTAAGAAAGTAGATATCGAACTAGCGTACGTCAGCATTCCGAGTGTACGCCAGCGAATGCCAGCGGACTGGAGCTTTTGAGCGACTAGGAACGTTTGAATATCGATCTAGCAGTTTGAGTACGACAGCGTTTCGAGCGTTCTTCCGTGTAGTTTTGAGCTTTTGACGGACAGCCCCTGAAAACGCTGGATCTTTATCCACACTTTGCTATTCGCTCAAAATGCTGCGTCATGCTAGCGTTGTATGAAACGCTAACGCAAAATATAAATGCGGCCATCTCCCACACGTTTGTGTGATGAAAGTACCACTCTTTTGCGACTGGGGTTGTAGCTACCGAATCAAACCGAATGTTCGGGGAACTTGTGATTTTATTCTTGTTCAAAATATCCTTTTTACATTACAAAGCCGTTTTTTGCATTGAAAGGAGTCATCATTTCGACTAGAAGTGCAGCTTCTGTTGAAGGGGAGATTTCTGGAAAAGTGTCCTGAGTTGTCAATTCAAGTCGCTGGTACTGCGCTCGTACTGCGACACTGCTGCACGATTAGGGCTGTGGGGGTGCTCCTCGCACATGGCAAAGGTCCATCTTGCAGACAAGCATACAGCGTATCTTCAACATCCACAGTTGATACTCATCACATTGTAATGATCCCAGTGACCTAACAATCCTTCCTGGTAAACAGAGCATGAGGCAGACAATTTGTAGGCCCTGTAGAACCTTGTGCCTGTGCGTTGTCCTACTTGATTATGCTCTTCATAAAACGCGCAAAAGAACCCCTTTTCCTGTCTCTGAATCCGTTTTGCTGAATTTCTAGATAGGTTCTGTCAGCGATTAAACGTAGCAATTCGAGGTCCATGAAGGTACGGGATCTAGTGAAGTTCAAGCAAGGGGCCCTAACATTGGTATACTGTTTAACGTAATCACTTTAAGTGCCTGTCACTCCTAAAGCAAATGGAGCGGGACCGTCATCGACGACTCTGTTCCCTGGAACTTATTATTTGAGAATGTTGGACGACAAGTACCGCCGATACTACGATGTCGTGCCGTATTGTGCCGAGTTTGAAAGTCACGAAAACGGAATCACGAATGGAATAAATGGAGATGGGGATGCATAGCCACTCTCTCTCTCTCTCTCCATCTTCTCTCTCCCATCTTCTTGCAAAAAGTATCTTTTATGCAGTTTCTTCAAGATGGAGGATACCTTTGCTTTTTCATGTGTTTTCATGCATCTTCAGAGGAGATTTGGTGCCTGCATCTCTTTCTCTCTCTAACAAATCTCCTGTTACAACAAATCTCCTGTTATATGGTTCTCAGTAAATAATTGTACATTGCATTTCATCGACTGCATTTCATGTTGCTATCAGACTTTTTTCAGAAAAGTTGACTACTCAGTTTTTTTTTAAATGTTGTGCTCAGTTTGTGAGACAGAATGCCCTCCTATTGTGCTACACTTACTATCTTTGCATGTGCATATCTGTTTTCTGCCCAAGCTCACTGTTCATCGTTCCTTTCGCACAGTGTTCAGTACAGTTACATGTTTGTTTCCTTACTGTTGTTATAGCTTTTGTTGAATTTTAGGGCGCAACATGTGCCTTCTGTATGTTGTTGTTTTTAGTGTACTAGAAGAGCTTATAGTTTCGTTTTTTGTGACTCATTGTTTTACATTACATTATAGAGCAATTATAGCTTGAAGAAAATGTTTTTTAAATTGTGGTTTCGTCTTTTTTATAGGTTGCGAAATCCTATCCTGTTCTTAGTTATTCCATTTTAATAGTGATTGAAAATTCGAAATCGACGCTGGTGACAGAGCCAGTTGCGTTGATTGCGACTGCAGAGATTGTAACAAGTTGTTCCGACCTTCGATCACTACAGCAAATTTATAATCCTTTCAGCTGGTTGGAAGACATTTCGAAACTAACTGAAACGTTCCAGTTAGTGTCTATAAGTTAGACCGTTCATGGAATATATTTGCTTTTCTTCTGGCAAATAAGAAATTTCTCTCCACCCCAAGTTACATAAACGACACGACTATGTTGATTCGTGCGACTCACATACTAATGGTAAGGTGGCAAGTAACACAAGCGAAAAAGCAGCAGAAACTCGCCCGAGATGCCTCCTATAGAACCCAAGCGCTGCGCTTGTACGTGCATAAGGCGAAGAGGGTAGTTGTCGGACGACTTCTTTTTCCTTGGTAGCAAGTCTTTC